ACAAATAAATTAAAACGCTTTTTATAAATTAGTTTTGAAATTTTTTGAAAAGTTTAGTTTTATGAGGGTGTAAAATGTATAAATTTGTAGCTGTGTGGAAATGTACGAATAGGTATTTAGTTTTAATTTCTTGTTTATTGTATAGGTCTTTTTATTTTTCAAGTGATGTATGGAACTTTTTATAAGGAAGGAAGACGTTTGTTATGTAATAACTTGTTATAGTTGGTAAATTTATAAAAGATTATGTAATATATTCAAATTTACATTAAAGTATTGTTATATATTTTATGAAGTTATAAAATAATAAAAAATGTGAATACTAATTTGCAAGAAACGAGTTTAGGCTAGGATTAATAAGTGGGTGTAAATGATTTATTGCACAGCATTAAAATAGTGGATCATGAGATAATAAGAAAGGTTATCTTTTATGTAGCTTATTAAGCATGTGTGTGTTTGTGTGTGTGTGTGTGTGTGTGTGTGTGTGTGTGTGTGTGTGTGTGTGTGTGTGTGTGTGTGTGTGTGTGTGTGTGTTAGCAAAGAAAGTATTTTCACTTTCATTAAGGTAGTTTTTTTCTCTATTAAGTTAGATATTTTTATTTATACAGGTTTCTCATAAAAACATCCAAATATTGTATTATAAAAATACCGTTGGCAAGTGGAAATAAAATTAACTAAAAGTTTATATTATTGCCATGTGCAATAATATTAATTTTTTGACTAAGCAATTAAAGAATTTTTAAGACAGAACTTAACATCCATAAACTTGGTTTGCAATCTTTTTTTGATAATTAAATATTTTGAATAGTTTTATAAAGTTAAGAAGAATAGTTATAACCATTGGAAATATCTGTGGCTTCTTTAAACAGTTGGATAAATTTATCAGATAAAATGGACATAGAATGCCACAAAATCAAATTACAGTATTTGAAAATTTAAATCTAAAAATTTACAGGAATAGGATTTTATTTTTTTCAAATTCTGGACTTACTAAATAAAACTAAGAAATAAGTTGTAAAAGTGAGTTAAAATTGCAGTTGTTTAATAGTAATTAATTATTAAATAATTAATTGAGTATATAACTAGAATTGCTTAATCTAATAAATTGTTAACTGCTAATTATTTTTTTTATAGGCTTTTTATATTAATGACTATAAATAACAACTAATTATTGATAATTGTAACTAAATGACTCTTCACAATGAACTTAATGAAACCTCTTGTTCAATGAAGCCTCTGAAACTTCAGATGTTCATATTATAAACACTTTAAAAGATTTCATATTTGTTATTGTTTGCATGATTTTAGTCATTTTATGTTATGTTATGTTGTGAATTTTTTTCTTCACAGTAGGTTTATTGACTGTACTTATTTTTATATGTACCAACTATGTTAATAAAAATATGTTTTTTGTAATGAGCCCATAACATTCAACATTAGTGTGTGTATAATATAAAATTATTATCTATCTTTTTAACAAACAAAAGTTTAATATTTTAAGGTTTTGATTAGTTTATCGGTAAATATTAATGAAGATAAATAAAAAGTTTGTAGTTTTGAATTTTATATTTATCATTTTTATAATTATTTTAATAAATATAATTAAATGATGTTAATGAAATGTTTAGAAGGTTGACAAAACTATAATCAGAGATAATTATTGCTTGCCAGTTTTTTTTACCTAATATAAATGTGTAAACAATAGAGTTAACGTTTAAAATAAAAAAATAGTTTTCACATTTATATATTTATTTTCAATAATAAATGTATTTGAAAAGCCCATCTGCAAAACATGCAAAGTCACACACACACACACACACACACACACACACACACACACACACACACACACACACACACACACACACACACGCAAAGAAAATAATAATTTCTGTTGATGCGCAACTATGTGTAGTTCAGAAATCAGTTTACTCGGACTTGACGCGTTTTGCAAATTTGCTCCTCATTTTAGCTAATAGATTTTTTAGTCAATTTTTATCTTTAGGTTATAGAGGCTACACTGATGATACTTAAAAAAAAAAAAAATAACTTCAAATTTACTATAAGTTTACTTCTGATGATGAAAATTTAGAGAACCTTCTTTAAGTAGAAGGATCATTTGAAATATGGCAAATATTTTTTAGTTATTTTTAGTCATATCTACATATGAATGAGATAAGATTTATAATGTTAGCAATACGGATGATATATATGAATGAGATAAGATTTATAATGTTAGCAATATTCTTTTTTTTATTTTTATTTCCTTTTTATTTTATTATTATAAACTCCAAAACATGGGTTTGCATTATTTTGTTATGGTTACAAAAGAATTTTAGTTTAGATCAAAAATATTGTATTTACTTTCATTTATTTTTGAAATATAAGTTAATACAATTAGCTATAAGTTATTGATAAAAAAAAATTATTTATGATTTTTGTTCTTAAAATATAACCAATGCTTAAATATGATTAGGTAGTACTATGAACTAAACGCCAATCA